CAAAAAAAACCCAAACTGCACAACTGTTAATGATGTGATTTTAAATTGAATCTTGTCATACTTGAGATTAGATTAATTATTTATGAATGCTTAGATTGGGTAAAGTGACTTAAAACTTCTCTGGAAGGTAGGTAATTGACTTTATAAAACAAGGAATACTTTTCCAGCAACTGAAATGCAACCAGGTAGAAGATGACATCTACACAACAACATTACACAACATTTTAGGATCGAAAGTAAAGAATATTGTTTCTGAGGCAAATGAAACTGCAGTGTGGAAAAAGGTAGGCAGAATGTAATGATCCAAGTGGGAATCTGACTGGGGTACTGAAGGCCCTCCTCTTAGTGCTTAGTAATCTTTAATGATCACATGTGGTTAATGTTTCAAATTTGCATTTTACAACCCCCAAAATCTTAGAAAGAAACATTTTCCTAGAAGTTTACAAGGTAACATATGGTTTCTAGAGCTAGTGAAAAAACACAGGAAAAAATAAACTCTTTACAAGTTTGTTTGTTTGCAGGTTTCCTAGAGTATGCTATTTCACTGTAATTTCAAATTCAAAACATTTTGATCCGTTCTACAGTTGGCAGGAAAATAGAAGTGCAGGGAAATTCATAAAAATACTATTCACACTTCACATTTTTTAAAATTTTTCAATTATTTTGAAATTTGAAAAAAAAAATCATGCTGTAATTACATTGTGTGTAAATACATTAATTGTAATCTCTTGACTGTCAAAGGTGTGAAAACACCTATTAGGTGATGCCTATAAACTGAATACTTATCATGCTGAAGTTCCAGAGAAATATAGATATCATAGAACTGCAAAGCAAAAAGCACTGAAGAGATTAAGTTGCTTAAGAGGCCATGAAGGGACAGATAAGATCTCGTTGCACAGACTTATCAGGGGCACCTACCAGAAGCCTCAGCTCTGTAGCATGCTGTGAAGGGAAAACTTCTAGGGACAGCTGCATGTAAACCAGTTTAAGTGATCAGAAACAGGTTTAAACCCGTAACAGAACGTAAGTTCAGTGCACATAAACCAGTTTCAAAATGGCCCAAACTGGTTTAAGATAAACCTTGCTGAATGCAGTATCAGATTAAACTGATTTGGGTCAACCTGGTTTATACAACTTCTGTCCCAGACCCCTTCCTGGTTCAAGTTATGTCACAGTCCCTCAGTATCCCAGATGCTTTGCAGCCCTGGGCAGGGCTGCACTCTCTGCTCCAGAGAGCAGGACTGGCCCAGCCCCTCTGCTCCCTAGCTGAAACAGGGACAGAGGCATGGCCCCCTGAGGGAAAGGGAGCAGGTAGGGGGTTTATTTCCCCGCCCCCCGCTACTGGGGGACTGAGGCCCCTGTCACCCATTCCCTACCTCCCCATTCCAGCAACAGGGGAGGAAGAATGGCCAGAGCCAGCTGACACGGCCTGTGCCATCCATCTGCCTTGCCAGTGGCTGGGGCTGCAGGGCTGAGCCCTGCCAGCTGGCAAGTCCTGCTGAGGGTGGAGGCAGATGGCTGGGCACCAGGTCCAGGTCCTTCCTGCAGCTGGGGCTGGGGCCACAGGGGCTGTCATGGAGCCCCAGCTGGCTGGGTAGGGCCCCGCAGGGCAGCCCATGGGGTCATAAGCCACAACAGTGACAGCTGGAGATGAGAGGGGCAGAAGAGCCCCCTGCCCTGGGCAGCACACAGTTGCTTGTGCAGCTGCAACCCCAGATGCTGCACAGCAGTGACGGCTGTCAGGCTTAGGGCCCAGTGGCGCCTCCAAGCTGGCCCAGGAAGCCTGCTCCCCAGCCAGCCCCCACCTGTGCTACCGGGCTGGGCTGTCAGACACAGCAGCCTAGGAAGGGCTCTGACTCCATGGGCCACCCTGCGTGACCCTACCCAGCCATTTGGGGCTCCATGACAGCCCAGCCCGGCTTTGGCACAGGGAGCTGGAAGCAGTCTGGCCATGCTTCCCCACGGCCCCAGTCTGGGCTGCCCCAATGCCTCTGCCCTCAGCAACACCCCCATGCCAGCTGGGCTCAGCCCTGCAGCTCCAGCTGCTGTAACAGCCCCAGCCCTGGGCAGATAGCAGGGCCATGCCAGCCAGCTCTGGCCAGGCCTTCCGCCATCTGAGCAAGAGCAGGAGGGAAAGCTGGGCAGACCCCAACTGAGGTCCCGTGCCCAGAGTCAGGGGAATTTAATCCCTATCCCCTGTCCCCCTTTGCCTAAGGAGCTGACCTGGCTGGTGCCTGGCCTCGGGGACAAGCTTGGCCAGGGCTGCTTCTCCCATCCCCCTCCAGGCACAGCCTGGCTGGGGTCCCTACGGGCAAGGATGGGGGTTTAAACCCCTCCACAATCATACTTAGCCCCTGCCAGGGGCCTGGCCACGCCCCCATGTCAGCTTCCCTCCAGCCTTGCGGCTGCTGCAAAGGGAAGGGAGGGCTGCTCTAGCACCCCCAGCTTCTAGCCTGAGCCACTGCAGGCATGTGCCTGCATTTCCAGAATTACACATGAATGTCTGCTCACTTGTAAACCTGCACAAATTTAATCACTTTGGGCTCCAGCTTTTTGAATATTTATCCCTAGCCCTTATGGCTATAAGTTACCTTTGGGTCCACACAAGAAACCAAGGTAAGTTTCACAAAGAGAAAAGAACTAGTGTTTAGCATGAATGTTTTGGTTTTTTTTATTCTGAGGGTGATAGGGTAAAGGAAAAAGATGGATGAATATAAAGAGACCCAATATACTTAAGACTCTTAAAATATGGCAACTTGCCACTGTAGCAAGAAAAACCTCTCCCCTATTCTCACCTCACAGGTATAAATCAATTCATTTATTTGAAAAGAGCCTTCTATTTCCTGGCCTGAAGTAGACTAGCATGTCTACTGAGCTAGAAGGTCAGGCCACAAAAAACCTGCAGGGGGTGACCTACTCTTCTGTGCAGCACAGAGGAGTTCTCAGGCTGTTAAATTCTGTGTTCCTTTTTTTTTCTGTGGCAGAATTTGAAGGCTTCACCCAGGATTACAGCCTTATTGTCCTCAGGTCTGTACATGCACCTATAATACAGGACATCCTCTGCATGGAAGAGCTTAACTGAGTCCAGTAAAACTAACAGGCAAGGGACTGGAACTGGTTTTCTCTCTGTTGTGCAGATGGAAAACAGGTATGCAGAAAGAAAGCAAGTTGTACAAGGTCAATCAGAAAGTGTGCTGAGATGCAGTTACTGATCTTAGATCTCCTGAGACACCCAGAGCCCAAACTTCAAAACCAACTCTCCTCTGTGTAAAACTGAATGAATGAGGCCACTTGGAAAGAAGGGGGAAAGTAATCTCCAGTAAAATCTAACTGGTATAAATCCACTGGTCAAAATAACCTAAGAATGACAGTAAAGGTGGGACAGTGGAAACAGACACTACTGTAACCATGAGTCGCAGTAGCATGCATAAAACTATTGCTGATGCACTGAAGTAGGGCTGAAAGTCAAATTCTCATTCATTTAAGTATTTCCCACCTCCTTTACATCAAGCTTAAGCTATACGCACAAAGTGACAACACTGGTCCCTCAACATTTCTCACTCATAGCAAATTCTGCCTTTCTACCAGCCTTCAATTTCAATACAGTATGA